GCTGCATGGCCAGCGCCCTGGGGCCGCTAGACGTGCGACCGGATTTCCATGTCCACAACAGTAGTACATTATGTTGTAGTATGCAGGGCATGTACATGTTGTAGTATGCAGGGCATGTACATGTTGTAGTATGCAGGGCATGTACATGTTGTAGTATGCAGGGCATGTGTGATTGCACGCGAACACTTACCAGGAAAGCCGGACATGGAGAAGTCAGCCAGCTCCGACTGAAGCCATTCTTGTTGCTGATTGTCTAAAGAACTGCACGTGCTGACACCACCAGGGGAGCTGGGTCTGGTAGCACGAGCAGTGTGACCATTGCTGCTGCTGCTACTACTTGTGTTCGACATTGCAGTAGGATTCACATCACCAGCAGTTTCTGTGTCTAACGATGCTGGAGACGGCGGTGTGCCTGCCTGCGACTCTGATGCTTGCTGCCCTGACAGCGCATCGGCACTGGCATCGTCCACATCGTCTTTGTCTAGCTGAGCGGCAGGAGTTGACGGCATGGACAACAGGGCTGGCGCAGGGGACATGCTGCACATGTTGAACAGGTCCGAGAACGAATCGGAGTTGACGGTGATCGGACGCTCGCTGGGCACCTCGCTGCGATTCATGAGCAGTGTGTCAACTAAATTGGATGCAGCTAACGGCGGCGCTGGCGATGCAGGAGTACGTTCGGCACTAGCAGCACTAACAGGAACTGAAGTTGTGACGGGGGCGCTTGCTTTGTTCGGACTCTGAGCACTGGACACGAGCGAAGCCATGCCAGCAGCCAAAGCAGTATCAGCTGAGGAGTGCATCACCGAGGAAGAGGGCAGGGTTTGCTTGCGCCGGCTGACACGACTGTTTCCCATGGCCACGGTACCGGCCGCACTACTAGCAGCATTTCCACCAGTACTACTAGCAGTAGCTGCTGCAGCACGGCCGGTTAGGAGGCGGCGAGACGGCGCTGAAACACGCACGGCGGCAGAAGCAGTGGCAGTGGTGGTTCCCGCTGTAGTGGCCTGGCTGCCGACGATGCGCATGCTCAGCTGAGGCAGATTGGCTAGCGTAGTTCCAGATCCTGAGAACATGTTTTGCGCCCGGGGAAGCTGAGGCAGGGAAAAAGCAGTCAAGAGCAATGAGGATACGACGGCAGGCTAATTCTGAGCCTTAAACAGAACGTGGCATTGCTACAACAGTGAATGAGGGGGGGGGGGGGAGAGAGAGGGGGGGGGGGGTGGGAGAGAGGGGGGGGGGGGGCATGAAGAACTAGAAGACAGGAATAAAGCCAGACGAAACTGAGCACCAACAGGGACAACTAAAGTGTCTCTTACAACGGTTCTGCTCGGCCGCAGAGGTGCAACACGGCGTCTCTGCAGCAGGTGCTGTGAAGGTGGCTGTAAAGGAGAGCGCACATCAAGAGATCATACATACGCAGTGATTACGCACACGTTAAAAAATATTTAAAAAAAACCTCCACTGGCTAGTGACAGAAATCAAGAGTGCATAAACAAGAGTATGCAACTGTGGTTATGGGTCAGTGCGCGGCGGGCTGCCTTCATTACGTAACTTGCCTCCATCACACTCTGAAAGCATGCACTCAAACCCACAATTTCAAGTACGAGCTCATCCGTTTTTGCTCGATTCGTTCCAGTACCTACGTGATCTCTAAATTTTGGCGCATGTTATGAACTGCTATGTTAGGTGACTTATGACTCTTGTTCCACTATGAATGTTACTATGCATGCTGTGTACACGCTCACCCATGCGCGCGCCTCCGGTTTATGTGTACATCGCTCATGTTGTGCATGTGTCTAGCCACGTACAGTTCACTTCTTGCTTTAGGCCCAATTAGGGCTAGCCGCTGTCTAACTGTGCATCCGCTGTCTGGTCGCGGTGAGCTTGCTTAGCTGCGCTGCATATGTCATGTCGCCGGAAGGGCACGACTGGTCCGCGGTCTGATTGACCAACTGTGTCGCACGAATGTTTTGGTTCGGTTTGGCTTTACTGCTACATGATAGATAGGATCTGCATTCATGTTGCAAGACAATGGGACTAGTGATGCGTACCTTCCATTGTCTTTGCTGCCTCTCCGTTTCTTAGTTTGTCAGCTAACGCTGTAGCTAGACTTCTTTCTTATAATATAAGATCGACTGAAAGACGGATGTGCAATATTATTGCACATCTGTCTTTCAGTCGATCTTTAGTTCAGTCACTTCAGTGTGCTTCAGTCTGGTTCTAGGTCTCTCCCAACTCACTTGTAACATTTTAAAATATAACTCGTTCCCTAATCCAAAGTGCTGCGTTAGTGCTGGGTGGTCGAACGTGGGTTCTACAACAACTGGTGCCGAAACCCGGGACGTGTGTGTTGTATTGACCAGTGCGAACCCTGTCATGCCAGCGAGATGTCGCTCAAGTTTGACAACTTTCTCCAGCCGTTCCGTGGGAACGGAGACGATTTTGGACGGTTTGGGGACAAGTTTCTGGTGCTCGCCAACATCCAAGGTTGAGACACCGACGACAAGAAGATGAAGAATTTTCCGTTGTTCCTGACGGATGACACGTTCCTTGTATTTTCGCGGATGCCGGCAAGCGATCAGAAAGACAAAGATAAAGTCTTGGCGAAAATGGGACAGTCATTCACTCTGACGAAGGTGCAGGCATACGCCAGATTCACCTCACGGACGATGCGTGTGGACGAGTCTCCCGACGCCTACGTTGCCGATTCGCAGCGGCTGAGTACTATGGCGGGGCACAAGGCTGACGACGACAAAGACCCCTTGCTCATAGAGCAGCTGATCAAGGGACTGCCGGTAGACTTTGCCAGAGAGCTGAGACTCACGATGGCGGGCAAAGAGTTGAGTGTGACGGGTTGCCTGGATGTGGTACGGGCTTTGAAGGCTGCGACCTCGGACCACTTGACTCGAGTACGTGGCGATGTTGTTGTGGCGGCTGCCACCATGGAGGAACAGGCGTGTTTCAACTGTGGCGGAGTTGGTCATATGACGTGGCAGTGCCCGAAAGAGAAGAAATCTGGTCGAGAGTGGTGCAGGCAAAGGAACTCGTGGTGAGCGTACTGGCCCTCGAACCTGCTACAACTGTGACAAGCCAGGTCACATGAAAAGTGACTGTCCAGAACGTAAAGCCTGGCAAGAACGGAAATCGTCCGGAGCAGCAATGGCAGCAGACAGTGGCTCCCTCGTGAGTGGTGCGTGTTTCTGCACAGTGGCCGAGGCTACCAGAGCTTCACTGCCCAGAACCTATGTAGACGTGCGAGGCGTGGTAGGCAGCGAATGGGCATGTGCCAGAGCAGCAGTCGACACTTGTGCAAGTTACACGATGGTTATGGTCGAGTTCTTGAAACTTCACAAGATTGTGTTCACTGCACAGCCACGTGTGTCTGTTGTATCCGTGGATAGCAGCAAGGTGAAGATCAGAGGAGCAGTTGATCTAGAACTGCAGCGCCAAGGAGATGGTGAACCGGTTAGTCTGCCAAGAGTGCGCGTGAATGCATGTGTTGTCGACTCATTAACGGCTGTGGCAGCAGACCTCCTCCTCGGTGCTGACGTTATAACTGGTGTCGGTGGCGTTCGACTCAGTTATGGCCAGGACGGCCAGGTCAATGGCGTGCGCTTTGGTCCTCAGCCTGGAGATACCGGTGCAGCCGCTACTGCTGCAGCTGACGTTGAGAGCACACTTCGTCATGTGGACGTCACAGAGGACGATCGTGGTGTGACCCTGACGGCCGAAGACGGAGCGCTCCGGTAGGACAACGACAAGCAGCATTGGACGTTGCACTGGCAGTGGTGTGATGGGCAATCTCCTACATCTCCGATCGGCTCGGGGGTCGGACAGTATGCGAGGCACAACCTGTCAGACAAGCAAGAGTCGCAGTTCTGTGACGAGATGGACGCCTGGGTCTAAAATGGCTACCTGATCGAGTACGATGAGACTACGCACGGTCCTCCGGTGGCCGTCATTCCGCTGCTCGCTGAGGACCAAGCCCACAAGGAGTCTACCCCAGTTCGTCCTTGTCTCGATTACCATGGCTTGAATGCGGTGATCAAGTCGAACCCAGGCACTGATGCCCCAGCATGCGGTGAGAAGATCCGCAAGTGGAGACAGGTTGCAGACAGCCAGTTTGAACTTGTCGACATACGTAAGGCGTACTTGCAGGTACGAGTCGACCCATCCCTCTTGCGCTTCCAAGTGGTTGTGTGGCGTGGGACTCTGTACACCACGTCAAGGATGGGTTTTAGTCTATCGATTGCACCAAAATTCATGGATATCATTGTTCGGTGGGTGACGAGACGATGGCCTGATGTGGACAACTATGTTGATGACATCCTCACGCCAGCGGAGAAGCGCAAGGCCGTTGCTGCAGAGCTAGCACGGTATGGCTTGCCGACAAAGCCACCAGAGCATCTAACCGAGGCCCGAGTGCTTGGCCTGAAGCTATCGACGACTGCTGATGGCACCATCATGTGGGCTCGCCGCGATGGAGTCGACCTCAGCTTCCGTCAACCGTTGACGAAGCGCGGTGTGTTCCAATGGACGGGCTGGCTCACAAGCCACTATCCAGTGTGTGCATGGCTTCGCCCAGCCTGCTCAATGTTGAAGCGGCTATCAAGTGCAGTGGACAGATGGGACACGCCGGTTCCACCTAGCGTTCTTCCGTGTGCCGACGAAGTTGTTGAGCAGCTGTCCGCGCAAGACCCCGTCCGTGGTGTGTGGCATGCATCAGCCGAGTCTGATGGAGATTGGGCTGTGTTCTGCGATGCCTCGGATCTGGCAGTCGGTGTGGTCCTCCAGCTGAACAGCCAAGTCATGGAAGACGGTACATGGCTGCGGGACACAGCTGATAAGAAGCACATCAATGTGGCGGAGCTAGATGCTGCAATGCGTGGACTGTCGCTTGCAGCGCAATGGCACCTGCAAACGGTACGGCTCGTCACCGACTCAAAGACAGTGTACGGCTGGCTGAAGCAGGTCCTCAACAATGTGCGCCGAGTGAAAGTCGGTGGGCTGCACAAGATACTGGTTGAGCGGCGACTGGAAGTGATTGCTGGCCTTGTCCAAACGGTCGGCCTCAAGGTCCGAGTGGAGTAGGTGCCGACTGACCAGAACCCGGCCGATGAGCTCACCCGTGTCCCGAGGCGGTGACCCAAGGGTACAGACGAGCCGAGTGATGTTTGCTCTGTTTCTGTGGCAACGGACAAGCATGCTATCGGGCCCGTTACTCTCAGTGAGATAAAGGATGCGCAGCAAGCTGATACCGAGATATCACAGCTGCTGGATGAGCTGAAGTCGGGAACCCCCCTGTCGTCGAAGCTGTACAGACCGGTCCGTGATCAGCTGTTGGACCATGACGATGTGCTGATGCGCTTAGTAAAGCTGCCACGCGACGGTGTCGTGCAAGTGCCAGTCATACCACCTGAGCTTGAAGGCCAAGTACTGAAAGCATCTCACAAGACCTCTGGCCATGCCACCTGGACGACAATGCACGACTCACTGTGCAAGCGCTGCTATATGCCGCTGATGGCCGAGAAATGCCAGAGTGTTGCCCAAGCATGTGTGCCATGCTCTGCAGCTAACCCGGCACGGGGACTGACTGTTGAGCCAACGTGTCCAGACGTACCAGGACGACCATGGGAGGTCATACAGATCGACATGGAGCTTGGCCAGAGTGGAGCGCACCACGGCTGCCTGGTATGCGTCCACATGTTCACCAAGTGGGTGGATGTACAGCGACTACGTCGACACAATGCAGCGAGCGTAGCAGCTGCACTGACCAAGATTTGCTGCCGGTGGGGCCCGCCGTCAGTCATTCGCATGGACAATGGCACTGAATTCCGGAACGCGGTCGTAGCAGCCCTCCTGGAACAGTTTGGTGTGGTGGTGAAAACGGGTGCAGTTCGACGTCCTCAATCACTCCAGTTCGTACGAAAATTCATATCAAACCAGAGAGAAAGTGCGGTGTTTGATTTTCCGCAATGCGCGGACTACAGCTGAATGAAGTAATGAAGGCAGCGCACCGCGCATCTGGCCCATAGAAAATAGATCACAGTTGCATACTCTTGTTTATGCACTCCTGCAGAAATGCAAAACAGCTGCAACAGAAAGCGATTTACGCTTGGTCAAAGAGAACACATGTACTAGTAGTTCGAATACTTATCATCAAAAAAGTCACAGGCCAATTTTACTGCAGTATTTATTCTATTTAATATGTACACTAACTCACACATACACACACACACACTAAATCACACGTACACACACACACACACTAACTCACACGTACACACACACACTAACTCGCATGTACAAGCACGGGCAAGCGCACATCCTTACCGGCATTTGGCCACTTGATGCACGTGACATGACAAACGGAACTTCTGTGCACGGTGTACTACGGCAAGGCACAGTTGAAACACAGGGCAAAACTAAAGGTCCAATATCAAACTACACACAACACAGAAAGGCTCCAGGCTGTCCAGGAGAGTGATCTACGCCCAAGGGCAGAGCTACTTCCAACAAGAGAGTGTTGTCTGATGATCATCTCGTGTGTGAAATTCGGAGTTACATGTACTCGTATGACACAATCCTCATCCTCTTCTGCTCGTTCAAACTACACACATGTGATACATCCTATACTTTGATAAGCAGTATTAAGATAAAGAGCATGGGATAACTGCAAGTAGAATATCCCTCTGTAAAGCTACCAGAGCATGTCAGAATGCGTACTCAGCGAGTTCAGCGAGTTCCACTGTACATGAGTATGACAGTATCAGCCAGAAAGCAGACCCCTACCTTTCTTTGGATGACGGCTGATTGATGGGTGCCAGTCCAGCCATAAGGGCCCTCTTTGGACCCGGTGCTGCAGCTGCTGCCGCCAGTGCCGCTGCCGCCGTCTTGTTAGAAGTGGAGCTGAGGTGGCGCAGGTACATAGCCGCAGCCTCCACAGCCTGAGCTGGAGTCAGTCCCGGCACAATCTGACAACACACGTGTACGCAAATGCACGTACGCAAACGCACGTACGCAAACGCACGTACGCAAACGCAAACGCACACACACACAAATACATACAGCAGGTACTAAATTGACCCACGTTCTGTCCAAATCGATAAGCAAATTCGCGAATCGCAGTTGGATGTTCGGAGTTTGCGTGTGTGTGTGTGTGTGTGAAAGGTCAGCTGAGAAGCGCACTGGCAGTGTGTGGGATACTGCAAATTTCAACTGAGCACCTACAGGTCCGTAATGGACACGAATACAATGCCGGCCAGTGAAATCCGATCACTTCCTCAAGAACTCGAGAGCTGCGAGTTGCCAGTCAAGAACATGTGAGATGATCTGGGTCGCAGAGCTGCAGGTGTCATGGGTTGCTTTGAGTGTGTGTGTGTGGGGGGGGGGGGGGGGGGAGGATGCCTGTGAGCACTATAGCCAGTATAGGTCCAAAAAGCAAGAAGGAAATGCTATAACAATTGGATATAGAGAAATGATGAAGCAATCCAGAGAGGAACATAGTGTCAGGAGTATACTTACCACACCACCCGTGCTTGCTTCCGTTGTTTTCGGTTTCTCCGTCGTCTCGGTCTGCGTGCCTACACTCCTCACACACTGGATACGAAAGCAAGACATGTGACGTGTTATTCACTAGAAAATGCATCATCAAAGCATCACATCATCACGAACCTGCCAGTGCACTGCCCCCCCCCCCCCGTGACCTATCGGCCTGTTTACGATACTGCATACCGGTACGAGTACGGTATAGTGTAACAAGATCTCCACAGTCATTGAAGTCATGTAGCTCTCAGGGTTCAATCCAAGAGACTGTGGATATCGGAAATTTCGTGTCGAGTTCGCCGACCTCGGTCAACTACATGCAAGTCAACAGCGAGCATGCACACACGTTTCTCGTTGCTGCTTTGCATGGTTGTGCGTATCAGTTGTAGAGAAAGGAATCTAAACTTTCTTTCTTAAGGCTCTCTAAGTCTAAAACCTTCTTGAATTTTCTAAAACCGGTCGAACAGAACAGCTTACATGGCTGCAGGCCATTCAGATGAAACATGACTAATTAGTGAGAAAGAAACTGGTCGCATTCCACTGAGTCCAGGCTACTCAGTACTCTCTCTCTCTCTCTCTCTCTCTCTCTCTCTCTCTCTCTCTCTCTCTCTCTCTCTCTCTCTCCCCTCCCTCCCTCCCTCCCTCCCTCCCTCCCTCCCTCCCTCCCTCCTCTCCCTCTCTCTCTCTCTCTCTCTCTCTCTCTCTCTCTCTCTCTCTCTCTCTCTCTCTCTCTCTCTCTCTCTCTCTCTCTCTCTCTCTCTCTCTCTCTCTCTCTCTCTCCATCCCTCCCTACCCCCCCCCCCCTCTCTCCCCCCCCCTCTCTCTCCCTCCCTCCCTTTATTCGCGCAAGATACTTCTCAATGTCTCTCACCTTAGCCCTCTTCAGGATCTCAAGTTTGCGGAAGGCTTTGCTCGCCAGGCGGAGGGATGCGGTCTCATCCGGCTGAGCAAGCTACAGAAAGAAGTGCAGAAATCAGGATGACAGACAGCATGATATTTTCACTGGTGGGGGTCACTGGTAATACAGTGAGTCTTGGATAGAACCACACTGCAGCAGGCAAACAAAAAAATGGCTTTCCAATGCAACTACAACCGACCTGAGCAAACCTGACACACTCAATTTCCCATTGCTGCTATTGATGATCTGACGTTATCACTAATGTTGTTACATGCAAGCCTGCTGCCTGACTCTATATTGGACACCACTGCCATCAAGGTGCATGATGAAGATTCAAGACGGTATTCAGGCCGGTTCATGGCATGCCTAGGTAACAGAAAACCGGGAGGATTGGGCTGATTCTACTTCGAAGTACATCATCGCAGTGCTTTACAATTGATGCTGATACTGGATTGGCAAAAATTAATAACCCTTTTTTCCTACAAAAAATCTCAGATAAGGCAACCACCTGTGCTAGAAGACCACTACAAGTAGGACCAAGGGATGTTATTTCCAGTAACGTAAAATGAACCTGGATAAGAAGACACATGGACCACATTTGTGAGGTCCCTTGAGTGACAGGTTTTACATGTGCAAAATATCATTCAAAAGAAACAATTTGATGGGACAAAATGGGTTTGAAACTATAAAGCAATAAAAGCAAGGGTTTGGGGGGGGGGGCTGAAAAGTAAAGAAGCAGGTGTACATTAGAGAAGATATGGCACATGTATATAGACTTGGTTGGCTGGGAACCATCTGGAATGCAACCTGGGCTACTAGGTCACCCTCGGGTGGATAGCCTTCACAGCGTGTGCGAACTGTTGACCCAACGATGTCCTGACATCACCTCATCAAGCCAGACTTCTTGACTAGCAAGGCAACAATTTTATGTATTTTTACTACAGCTCTACTGAAAAAAAAACACGTGGAGAACGAAAAAAAGAAAGAACATGGCCCAGGGGATGTAGGGACCCCTTGTCAAGCATTCTCACGCACAGCACTTACCTCTGGCGGAAGGGGAAGCCTGTACGAGAGACGGAACGTGCTTGGCCGCTCCAGCTGTGCAGCAATAGATAGAACAGAGAAAAGAGTTCGCTTCAAACCTGGCCAGAAAAATGCACACTAAACAGTACAACATGGCTTCGTGGCTCTGGCATGATTCTCCAATGCTCAATGATGTGAAAAACAAATTCAAAGCAGAGGCCAGCTCCATTGGTAACTACTACTCCCAAAAGAGTTCACACGTACACGTACCTTCTCATAGATATCTCCCACAGTCAGGCCGTCACAATTACCAAAAGACCAGGCCGTGCGCTGGCGCAGTTTCTCCACTTCTCTACTTGCAGAGCCAGCTGCAGCCGTGTGGCTAGGCTTGGACTCTGCCACTGTGGTAGTAGCATGAGATGCACTGGTGGCCGATGAGCTTGGGCTTTGGGCCGCTGTGCTGGATGCTGTGGGAGACCTTTCTTTCCCTTTCTCCGTCAGGCCACGATTAATTAAGTTCATCAGGCCGCGAGCAGCCTCCTGTTCTAGAGGCGTCGCGCACTCCTCCGTGAGTGGAGAGCTGGCATTAGATGCAGACTGCTGCTGTACTGACGGTGGCGCTGGCAGTGTGATCAAGAGGGTTTGGGGAGTGTGAGCCGCCGTGGGTGAAATACCTGTAGAAGCTACCGTCGACTCAGTCTGAGTTGCTACAGCAGATACAAGATCCAGTGAGCTCCTGGGTGATGTGCTCACATCAGACTGGCAAGACGAAGGCAGCGGGTCTTTTGACTCGGTTTCCAACCGTTCACCGCCAGCAGGTGAAGTGTCCATGGGAATGTCAGCACTACTGCTGCTTTGGTTGTTGCCGCAGTTAGTAGCGGTGATGTCCATTGGCAAGTCCACACTCACAGTGGGAACTGCTATTCCACTGTCTACACTGGACGGATGAGCTGCAGAACACACAGTAATGGGCGAGGCAGTACATGCGGTCACTACAGTGGACGAGCAAGACGCAACACTTGCACCCGCTGGGGAGGCCGGCGGAGAAGAGGCGCAGGTGGAACAGCTCGGCGTCGCCTCGCCATGGGTTTGGCAATCGCGCGCTTCCAGCACTGACATGGCCGGTGACATCATCACGCTAGAAGAGGTCAATGCACACGTCACAGTCAATGATGCACTGTTAGCCATTGTTAGTGATGTACTAGTACCCAATTCAACACAGGCCGAGCATACAGCAATACTCGGCAAACTGCTCTGAGAACCATCAGAAGCACTACTTTCAGATGCAACACACTGCACTTCACTGCTGTTTGATGCAGGACTAGAAGCAGCTACGCTCGGTGCTGTGCTGGTAACGACACTGGCTACAGATGAAGCAGGGCTGCCGTCACACCGAATGGTTTCCTGCGCCTTCTCACAATTCTCTACAGCTGGCTGAACGTCCACGGCAGTAGCCGTTTCCGTTGTGGCACTTGTGAGCTCGTGCGGTGATGACGCATTCGAGTGAGAAGATGTGGGAAGAGCTGCACATGAAGTGTGCGGAGAGGCCTCAGTGCTGACCGCCGGTGGCTGCGCTGGGCTGCTTGGAGCAGCAAGTGACATGGCCAAAGTCGACGATGGCGAGCTACATACGATTGCTGACACACTGCATGTCGTCGGCGAGGATGCGGGCACCTCCGATGCTGCCGACAGTGCCGCAGCGCCAGCAAGCGGCAGCGAGCAAACGTCCTCCGTCGATGTATACAGGTGAACGCATTCGTCTTCGGATAATTTCTGCGCCGAGCAAGCACAGTCAAGGACTAAACCAGAGCCTGTGAAGAGCAAAGCAAAGCAAACCTACAAGTACAGTAGGATCTACATGTCACTACATGCTTGAATCGCATGATTCCACAGTCAAATAGGTGTAGAGCGACCGCTCCAGGCAACACAGAAACCGTGCATTCTTAGACTGGCGGCTTTCAAGTTTCAACACAGACACTGGCCCGAGTGTCTCTTGAAACATGACTACATGCAGGTACCTGAAAACATGGTGTCCATTGAAACACAGCCTCTTGCCGCTGTAGTCGTGGAATGCACAATTGGACAGGTTTTACTGTAATTCTGAAGAGAAAACTGTGCCGAATTAAATCTCCGGACTGGCAACAGATTGTGCAATGGCAGCAATACAGAAAAAAACGCAGCTGAATTCCTGTATTACCAAGCCACTCAGTCAGCACAGAGAAAAGGATACATGGATCATGGTACTCAGCTGAAAGCGGTGTTGCAGAAAGGACAGAACGGCGCACAGAGGCTTGGACGGTGCCACTGTAAGCCTGTAAAAAAACCAAAAAAAAACACAACAGAACACAGACTGAATGAGTTACACCATTTGAACTAGACAAGTGCTTTCTCCAGCAGCACTGCATGTACACTGTAACGGGCAGTGTCTTAGACCAGGTTCGATATACTCCGATGTAGCACAGTAAAGCCAGGCATATATTATATATTTCTGTAGACGCCAAGACACAGGCCAGGCTTCTATACACGCGGTGTGCACACAACAGTGTACAGTGCCAGGATGCACAGATCCAGGGTGCACAGATCCATGGTGCACAGATCCATGGTGCACAGCTAATTTACAGCTTCAAGCGATTTTAGCTGTTTAAGTTGGAAAGTCTCACTTTTCGCACTTATCAGCAAACAAGACTTTCACCTGCAAAAAAAGAACTGAGTGCCTGTTTAGCTGCGCAGTGCAGAAGGCAGGAGCCTCCTTAAACACCAATGTGGCACATTGCACCTTGCAAGCATTCGGTACATGAAACCAATCGGAAGAACCTGTTTCCCTATGCCTGAAGTACATACCTGATGCGTGGATTGAATGACATGCTTTGCACTAGCGTCCATTCTGCAGATCGGTGTGGGACAAGCTCTAGAGCTAACAGCGGTGGCAGTGGTATCCGTCTGCTCCACAACAGCACAATCAAAGACACATCAATAAGAAGAGAGAAAGAGAGAGAGAGAGAGAGAGAGAGAGAGAGAGAGAGAGAGAGAG